CTGCAACTTACTGGATAATAAGTTTGCATGTTGAATCTTTCCTTACACAAGCCCTGAAGGAAGAGTCCAGTTTAAAATATTTTTTAACAGTCCTGGTGACCGTTTTTGTTGCTGCTAATAAAATCCTGGAACATTACTCACAAGTTGCTGTTGCTTTTCCACAGTCTGGTCTAGGGACCCAGCAAGAAAGGAGTTGGTCCTGTTTTCCGGTAGAACGAGGCCAGGCAACATAGAAATAGTATCTAGTTCTAGGTCTGCCCCCAACCTGCTCTGTGACCCTGAACTTTTCCTTCCCTTCTCTGATCCTTGGTTTCTTCAAGTGTAAAACAAGGAGATTAGACTAGATCAAGGGTCAGCAAAGTTTTCCTGTAAAGGGCCACTTTGCAGGTCACATGGCCTCTGTCACAAATACTTAACTCCTCTGTTTAGTGTGAAAACAGCCAAGGCAGTACGTAAGCAAGTGGGTGTGGCTGTGTTTCAATAAAACTTTATTTATAAAACATGCAGTGAGTGAGATTTGGCCCATGGGTCATAGTTGCTGGCCCTGGGACTAAGGGCACTTCCATCTCTTAATTTCTATAAATCTGTGAAGAGCTTTTCCACTTAGGGGAAAGAAAGGGACAAATACCCAGCTAGTGCCCATATTGCAAGCACTTGTGAGGGGCTTTATAGAGATTCCTTAGAATCCTCACTGCACTTCAGTAGGGTGGGTATTATGGGAAGACTGAAACTCGGGGAGCTTCTGTACTTTGCTCACTCTCTTCCTTTCAAGTCCTTTTGAGCCTTCTCTTCTCAAGCCTCAACTCCCTCCTAAATTAGAGTAGAAAACATTCTCAGGGATGCTGGCCTCCTCTGGTTGCTACAAGGATGGAATGAGGAAGTCCCTTAGGGCAGCCCTGGCAGAGGGAACGGCCCCGCTGAGGACCGGGGACAGGAGAGCACTGGAGTCCTGAGGGAACTGAGGGAAGCCGGGGTGGCTGAGAGGCCAGAGGCAGGAGAGAAGGGAAAGGGGTAGAAGATGAAGCCACAGAGGTGACACAATGCAGTGAAAGCTTCCAAAGAATAATTTTGGCTCCTGTGTGGAGAATCAAGACCAGGCCCATCTTTACAGAATTTCCTGCTTCACAGAATACTCCTGTTTCCTGTCCTCCTCAACACATGAGGGTGATCCCCTCATTCATCCACAAAAAGGGCAGATGGAAAGTATTTTCGTTGATCGAGAGCTTGACTGTGGTTGGGGAGGAGGTGGAAGGGAGGCAACAGGGAAGCCGAGAGAAACCGGATTTGCCAACTGAGACTTGACTCCGTCCCTCCCCGCTGTGACCTTGGGTGCTCACGCAGACGCTCTCTCTCCAAGTTCCTCGTCTGCCAAATGCCACTGCTCACCGTCTTACTGCATCTCTGGGTTGGTGTGAATATCCAGCGGGATCATGTTTGTGAGAGCTCTCTACGAGTCTGAGGTGGGAGCTCATATCATGTCGTCATTATTGTCATTATTATCATCAGCTTATCCTCTGCTGCTGCCGAGCCAGCTCTTCAGGCCTGTGAATGTATCTGAAGGTCTGTGTGACCCTCCTCTCTCAATTTTTCTTGTGTTAGGATTGAATTGCCTTTTGCCTGGCCACTGTGGGAATGGAAAACTCATTCCATAAACAATCTCAGATTCCACGGATCTCATGAAGGCTGTGGGCAGAAGAGGAGGACTGTGGGGCTGCGTGCGGGAGGTGAAGAGGAGGGGGGAGCAAGGCTGGGACACGGGGGAAGCGGGTGTAGGTGGTGGCGAAGGTGGTTATTGGCCCCTAGGTGAGTCTGGGGGAGTCCACTCGGGCAGATCACAGTGGGGCTTTGTATTTGCAGGGCTCGTGGAATGTTCCAGGCTTTGAGGGAGACAGATCTGAGTTTGAGTTCTGGATCTAGGTCTTACTAACTGTGGGGTCTAGATCATAAGAACAAGTGCAAATGAAAAATAAGAGGCTTAGTTCCCCCTGTTGAAAATAAGGGATGAGATTTCTTTCCCTTCCTTTTTCCTAGAGCATTTAGGTTAGAAAACTTGTAAGTACTTTCTTCTTGCTTTGAAATGTATTTAAATCCTTTTGAAGAACAGATAGGCCTTTTCTTCCCCCCCTGCCCCCGTGACCTGGGAGCATCTCTCTGAAATGTGAACACCAGGAGAGGTAATGCCCCCACCTCCCAGTTTCTGTAGGAAGACAGGTGCCTAATTTAGGTGGGCACCTTGCTCCAATTTGCCAAACTACCATAAGGAAATTAGAAGTTGGTTTTTCCCCTGGAGAAAGCCAATTACCTAACACAGATGGTCACTTCAATTACAAGGAGAAGTTTGGACGAACTCTGCGTGACAGATGGTGCTGTCGAGTCCTGTTACCGCGTACTTGTAGCTCTCCCCACATTCCCAACATATAAACTGCTCCTGCACATACCTTATTAGTGCTGTCAGAGAACTGATATTAGTATCTTTTTTTGGTAGAAAGAGAAACAGACTCCAAAAAAAAAAAAAAAAAAAAGCCATGTGCTTATTTACACAGCTGGAGGTTATGGAGCTGGGAGTCAAACTCAGGTGACTAATAAGAGTCCTGACATTTCATTGTTATGTCCCCAAGCTGTCCCGGTGACCTGGTTTTCCCACTTGAATCCCATCTTCTTGCATCTCTTTTGAGCTGGTTATTGTCTGTTAGCCCCTGCGGATCCACTCTATGCCCTGAGCCCTCACTGACCTCCTGGCACACTTGCTCCTTGGCTCTTTTGAGCCCGGCTTCCAATTGAGTCTGGCCAAGGGGATGAGAGGCTGGGGGCAGACTGGTCAGAGTTTTCCCTCGCTGCTTTCTGTTCCCTCCCTGCTGCTTTGGCAGATGGCCTTCCTCAACTCAACCCTCAGCTCCTCCAGGCAGGCCCTCTCCTACGTTTTAGGTCTCCTCGGGTTCCTCTAAAACTTTTCCCTCTATTTGCCTCTTCAGGCCAAGGGGTGGTGACCAGCTTCATACTGTTGGTAACCCCAGGATGCTTCCGGCCCTGCGGTTCTCATTAATCTGTCTGCAACTCAGTAAATTGACCTTTCTTTGAACTCTTTAAGCATTCTTACTTAAATCTCTTCTTTGAATGGGCCATGTGTTTCTTTTCAGTACTCCCATTGTTTCATGTGCCCCAGCCTTAGCCCCATTTTCCTTTCTTTTTCTTCTAAGTTATATAGCTTGGCCAAACCACAGCTCCAAAGGTCCCCATCACAGAATGGGGTATTGGCCTTTGCATCTCTTTTTTTTTTTTTTCCGGTACATGGGCCTCTCACTGTTGTGGCCTCTCCCGTTGCGGAGCACAGGCTCCGGACGCGCAGGCTCAGCGGCCGTGGCTCACGGGCCCAGCCGCTCAGCGGCATGTGGGATCTTCCTGGACCGGGGCACAAACCCGTGTCCCCTGCATCGGCAGGCGGACTCTCAACCACTGCGCCACCAGGGAAGCCCAGCCTTTGCATCTTTTGAGTGCCTGCAACAGGGCAGGCATGCAGCTCCTTCCCTCGAGGGGCTTCCTGGGCAGCGCCAGCTTGTGCTTCACACTCTCTTCCTAAGCACATCACTGGCCTCCACTGTACCGTGGCATCGCACCTGATGGACTTCTAGATCAACACAACATGGGCAATCTCAGACATCGTTTGGGGCAGAGGGAGTGTTTTTCATCAGAGCGCAGGAGAGCTCAGGTTACTGGAAGCCACTTAATGCCTCATTCAAGAACAGCCATTTCTTTCTGGCTAAAGAGGGACTGAGTCCAGAATGCTGACTGCACGCTGCAGTTTGACTTTGTTGGAACCAGCCCCATGGCGGTCTAGGCATCACAGCCTGAACCCCCATGCCCTCCCATTCTCCTGTAACATGAACAGCATTTCCAGTTGTCTGCATATTTCTACATTTCCTGAATGATGGCGTGTGGCCATGGATGTTGCTGTCTGAATCTCAGTCTGTTGGCTGACCCTCATGGGTGGTGAAAGTTACACATTAACCATGGCTTGCTCATGGTCTCTGCTTTGAAGTTGCCAGCAGTGCTTAGAAAACAGGTTTCCAGTTAAACCAACTGAAAAACCTGTTTTCCCCTCTGGAATTTAATACTTTGGACCGAGGTTAAATTGCCTACCAGAGATTATGTAGGAGAGTTGTTTTTGTTTTTTTTTAAAGGGTATCCCTTGAATGACACATTCAGGTTTTAAGGTTTTTGAAGTTCCTAGTCTAGAACTATGTTTTCCCCATCACCTGTCAGCACCTGCCCACCATTGCACCATTGTTTTCCCTAGACCCTGTATTCTTTTTTGACTAAGCTCCCTGACACCCCACCCCTACCAAGACCAGAGAGATAAATAATCAGGTAGGAGATTCTTTCTTGAGCTTCGAAAAAGAATATTTCTAAACCCAAGAAAGGGGAGTTGATTGAATTATAGCATCTACATACATAAGAGTACAATACAACCATCTGTATCATCATGCTGCTGTGAGTTTACTAACAACAAACAAAACCATAATAGGAGGCTCAAAACGATCCCATCTGATTAAAAAGTATGGAATTATATATCCCCAAATGTTAATAATGGTCACTCTAGGCGGTTATGGGTAATGATAATTATCTTCTTTTCCTTATCTGTGTTTTCTACCTTTTTTCAATGACTATGTATTAGTTTTGTAATTTAGTTTTTTTTTTTAGTTTTTCATTTTTTTTTAAAGAAAATGAATGTTCCCAAATTATCAGTGCACTATGATTATAATTATCTCAAATAAGTGGCTTGTGGTTGTTTCCATATAAACCTAAAAAGGCACAATTCATCCCCCAGAAATACTGAGAATAAAAACCAAATTGGAGTTCTCCACCTTTCACATTCTACCTTTCCTTTGCATATGGAAGCAGGGACCATGATGGACCAAGAAGCTCTGTCCAGAGCTGCGATAGCGGCCAGGTGGCCCCAGGGGGTCTGCTGATCCCCCAGGTCACTGCGGAGTCTTGCTTACCTGAAACACACAGGCCTCTCCTTGGGCCCGGAGCTGGCCAAGGAGCAGGTAGGCGGTGAGTCCTGCCAGGATAGGGAGCAACACGAGGCAGCAGGTCAGAGCGCAGCGTGCACTGTTGCTCCTGGATGCTAGCCCAGCTCTGGCCTTGGGCCTGCAGCCTCCGTCCTCGGGCAGCATTTCGACGCTGGCTGTTTCCCCAAAGCCCGGCCCTAGATCCTCTGCCATGCCCCTGATGGTCCTAGAGTTGCCTCTAACTCCTTGAGAGCAGAGAGACCCCCCATTAAATAGAAGCCCAGCTCGCACAGTGGGTGAATTAATCACTGCCTACTCCTCCCCCTGCCCTCCCCCTCCACTTTCCACAGCACACTGTGCCCCGCCCTACCCTGCTAGGGAATGCACCGCCTACAACAGAAACCAAGTTTGGTTTAAGAAAAAAAAAGAGAAGGAGAGAAGAAGAGGAAAGCTTTCCCAAGCATATTTATATATACAGTGTGCTCATGTGCACCTTCCTTCACTTACAGAAGGAAGTTAGGAAAGTCCCTGGAGGAGGAGAAAATAAATTCATCAAGTCAGTGGGAGGGGCCAATGAAAATATACCTGCTCCCTGAACTGGAGGCCTGCCAGTGTGCCAGTCTGGGGAGTGTGCTTCTTCCGGAAGTGAAAGTGAGTATGGGTGGTGTGGCTTGCAGACTGGGAGATGGAAACCACGTTTGCACCACCAGTTTGCTAAGTGCTGCCAAGCCCTCTGTCTTTTTGAGTCTCCTAGGAGCTCGTTCCCATTGCACAGATGGGACTACTGACGTTCTGGAAGGAGAAGGCACTTGCCCTAGGTCAGCCAGGGATTAAGACGGAGGAGCCAGGAAGAGGATCTAGTTTTTCCAAATCATGGTTTAAGGTTCTTGCCTCTACTGCACGGTTGCCTGTGAAAGGAAAGCGTATTTCTAGCTTGTGTTGACCAATTGCCTGAGGAAAGAGTATGCGGTCATAGAGGTGACTGTCTATAAGGGGAGGACATTGACTTCTACTCTCTGATGAGTCCAAAGTTGACTGAGCCTACAGTTGGGTGTGTACGGGGACCACAACATGTAACAAAGGCTAAGACTGACTAAACGCTGGCTTTGGGCCAGTCACTCTTCTGAGTGAGTTAAATGTATCCATGAAATTATTCCACCCTGAGATAATCTTTTGACATAGAAATGTTATTTCCACCTGACAGATAAGGAAACTGGAGCGTAGAGAGTACGCAGTAAAGCCAGGCTTGGAACTGGGGCAAGCTGGTTCCAGAGCATCCTGATTATTACGCTATATGTGATGCTCTACAGTGCACCTACACAGATACCCATACCCGCTCTACCCGGAGTAGGTCATCCCTTCCAGTTAGGGGTTGGGAGGCTTCCTAGAGAAAGAGGTGGTATTGGAACAAGGTCTTGAAACTTAGGGACGGTGATAGTGGACAAGAATAGAGGGCCCTGCAAAAAGATGGGTTACAGAAAAAGGAAAGCTTAAGGATGTCCTGTGGCATGTGGTAGAAACCAGTCTGACTAGTGCCTCCATTCAGTGGCTATATCTGCTTATATCGTAGCCTAAACCCTTCAGGCTACTTGGAAAAGCCTTTCATGACCTGCCCACCATCATCCTTCCTCGGCGTCCAGCTCTTCTCTTACTACGTTCTAAGCTGCAGTTTCTCCAAATGCACTGTGGACTAGCTGCACTGTTATATCTGCTGTTCCCTCCACTGGGAAATCTTCCATTCCTTTCCTTTCATATCACCAAGCTCCCATATTTTTTTCAACTTCATGTAGAAAACTTTCCTGCATCTCCCTGCCTCCAAGATGGGGTGAGATGCTCATCTATGTTCTTATAGCTTCCCATTCTTCCTCTGTGATTGACTACTTCATACTAGACTGTGACTGATTGTTTTTCATCACCCTGATTAAGGTAGAAAATCTAAGAGGGCAGTCACAAGCCTTCCCTGTAGCTTCTAACATAGTAACTGTCACACAGAAGACTCTTAACCAACATCTATTGAAATAAGCATCTAACATATTTTCAAAGAATTCCAGCAAAGGATGATTTTTTTTGTGTTACGTGGTTACCCATTCTTGGTTTAACAAATCAAATAAGAAACTTTTCCTTGAAACTAACCTAACTCTTTGCTGTTGTAACTTTTAAACACAAAATCACACTTAACATCAAATCATCTTGAAGGGATTTACAAATGTGTTCTTACCCTTGTATTTCTTTTTTAGAAAGTTGGTGTGCTTGATCAAACCAGGGTCTTAAAAGTGGTAAATGTATGGGTTCAAATGAAGAGATATGTATTATCATCCATAATGTAAGAAGGCCTTAAAAGATGGTGAATACTAAAAACACCAGACTGGGGATTTGGATACCTGGGTTTTAGTCCCTTTATTGTGTGACCCTGAGAACTCTAGCAGGCTCTCCTCATTCTAATGTATCTAGCTATCTGCAAAATGTGGTAACTAAGCTTGTTATCATTCTGTTTAAAGCGAGGGTCAGTGGATTCTGAGTTTGTGCCTGGGGAACTTCTGTGGGAAGAGGATAAGAGTTTTAGGGCATGGACCTGCAGACCTTTATTTGAGATAACTGTAGAGGTAGATTTACATATAGTTGTAAGAAAAAATAGAGATTCTGTATACCCTTTACTCTGCTTTCCCCAAAGACAACATCTTGCATAACTGTAATATTGATATAATACCACAACCAGGAAGTTGACACTGATATTCAGATTCTACCAGCTTTATATGCACTTTTTTGTGTATATGTATTTAGTCCTGTGATGTTGATCACATGTATAGAATCCTGTGACCATCACTGCAGTCAAGATACAGAAAATCTCCATCAGAAAGATCCCTCGTGCTGCATTTTATGGTCGCAGCTGCTATCCTCCCCCTCTTCCTCCCTTAATTCCGGGCAACTACAAATCTACTTTACAGCTTGGAGTTACGTTATTTGCCAATGTAATATAAATGAATCATGTGGTCTGTGTCTTTTGGGGACTGGCTTTTTTTTCCCCACTCAGCATCATTTCCTTGAGGTCTATCCAAGTTATTGTATGATTAATACATCATATCTTTTAACTGCTGAATGGTGTTCCATGGTGTGGATGGACCACAGTTTGTTTAACTAGTTACCCACTGATAAACATTTGGGTTATTCCCAGTTTAGAGTTATTATGAATAAAGCTGCTATGAATACTGGTGTACAGGTTCTTGTGTGAACATGTTTTTATTTCTCTAGTGTAAATGCCCAAGAGTGAAATTGCTGGGTCATACAGCTGGTGCATATTTAGTTTGTAGGTAACTTCCAGACTCTTTTCCAGAGTGGTTGTATCATTTTATTTCCCACCAGCAATGTGTGAAAGAACCAATATCCTCTCAGCATCCTCTCTCCAGAATTTGGGGTTACTACTCTTTTTTTTTTTTTTTTTTTTTTTGCGGTACACGGGCCTCTCACCATTGTGGTCTCTCCCGTTGCGGAGCACAGCCTCCGGAGCACAGGCTCAGCGGCCATGGCTCACGGGCCCAGCCGCTCCGCGGCACGTGGGATCTTCCCGGACCGGGGCAGGAACCCGTGTCCCCTGCATTGGCAGGCGGACTCCCAACCACTGCGCCACCAGGGAAGCCCCTACTACTCTTTTTTATTTTAGCTGTTTTGTTAAGTGTAGAGTGATATCTCACTGTGGTTTTAATTTGCATTTCCCTAATGGCTAACAACATTGAACATCTTTTCACGCACTCATTTGCCATCTGTATAACCTTTTTGGTGATACAGACATCTATTTTGGCTGCTACAAGGTACTTCTCCCTTCCTTCTTGATTCTCAGTGGATTCTAAGGTGGAGGTAAATTAGCTTACAAATAAATAATGAGCTATTGTACTTGAGTGCTTACTACTGGGTACAATATAGTGTTCTAGGTGATGGGATAAAGCAGTGATGAAAATGGATAAAAATCCCTGGTTTCATGAAGCTCATATTCTAGTGGACGGAGATGGCCAGTAGACAGCAAAAATAAGTTACATTTATAGTATAGTAGATGGCCTTAGTGCTTTAGAAAAAAATTAAAAAACAGAAAAGAGAGCCAGGGAGTTACCTTAGTTGCAATTTAAAATAGGGTGGTCAGAAGAGGCAACCTTTCCTGAGAGTGGACATTTGAGTGAAGACCTGGAGTGAGGGGAAGCTCTGTGGGTGTCTGGTAGAAGATTTCTCCTGGCCTTGAAGCATGTGTGTTCAAGGAGCATCAAGGTGGCCAGGATGGCTGGAGCAGTGTTGGAGGAGGGTGACCACACAGGGCTTCTGGAGTGAGAGTTGGGTAGGACTTGGCTTCTCCTTCAGTGAGTTGGGGAGGCTTTGGAAGGTGTGGTGCAGAAGGGTGGCGGGTTCCGATTTCAGCTTCAGAAGGATGATCCTGGTTGCTCTGCTGAGAGTGGCCTGAAGACAGGAGGGTGGCATCAGGGAGACCATGTTGGAAACGACTGCAGTTTCCTAGGTGAGGAGTGATGGTGGATTGGATAGGGTGGTGGCAGGGAGGATCGCAAGAAATGGCAGATTCAGGATATATTTTGTAGTAGAGCAGATATAATTTCTTATTGAGCTGAATGTGAATGAGCGGGAAAGATAAGAGAGAAGTCCGAGTCCAAGTTCTTGGTTGGAACATCAGAAGGATGGAGATGCCTTTCATGGAGACAAGGAAGACTGGGGGAGGGAGTTCAAGATCTCAGATCAAGATGTGCATCCTTGGGGCTTCCCTGGTGGCGCAGTGGTTGAGAGTCCGCCTGCCGATGCAGGGGACATGGGTTCGTGCCCCGGTCCGGGAGGATCCCACATGCCGTGGAGTGGCTGGGCCCGTGAGCCATGGCCGCTGAGCCTGCGCTTCCGGAGCCTGTGCTCCGCAACAGGAGAAACCACAACAGAGAGAGGGCCCCAAAACAAAAAAAAAAAAAAAAAAAAAAAAAAAGAACGTGCATCCTTTAAGGTGATTTAGACACGAAGTGGAGAGGACATGATGAGGAGGCAGTTGGATGACTGGGGTCCTGGGGAGAGGTGTGGGTGGAGGTATTAAATTTTGGGTCACTTCTGAGGCAGTACCTATCACATAGTTAGTGATTTAAAATGGAGGCTCCTTTTGTAATCACAGGTCCTCAAGTCCTTAATGCAAAATCCTCGGGACCAGGTTTTAGAAAAGCATTCAATTGAATATGAAATTGCCAATATCTGACTATTCTTGACGTACAATAATAATAATTTTATTATTTCACTGTTCTATTTCACTGTAATAGTACATTCCAAATG